GTCCCAAAGCAGCACTAACTCCTAGCTCTCTATGGAAGTAGCTTCAAAAATTATACTACTTTACTGACCCTCATTAATTATTTTTATATTTTCAAAATGAATTTTTCAATTTCTTCATGAAAAACAGAAATCCTCGAACATGAATTCCGGCCCCCTACTATGTGTAGTTTCATAATTTAACAGTGAGATTCTGAAATCTGTACAGAGGACTAACTTACATGTTCCCCTAGAACAAATTTGTTTATAAATATTCCTGTTGATGTAAAAGTCCTGGCCTGGGTAACAGGGCATGAGCTTCAAGCATCTTTCAGGTTATGCTAAACTGACCGGAAAAAAAATAAGGAGACTTTCGGTGAATTTGGTAGCAAGCGAATAAGCGCGCAATAGTTTTAAGCACATTTTAGAGAGAGAGAAAGACGATGTGGATTTTACGGCCCTGGCTTGGGACGACATTTGTCTCGGAAATTTAATTAGACGTACGGAAACAATTCTGCAGAAATTGAAAAAGTGGTGGAAACTTTATTCGATCTGATAGTCTGCGCCGCTTCCCAATGCTACATCCTGAGAACCCCAGCATCTGAACTTTTAATTTTTTTTTTACCAATGAGCATCTGAACTTTTAACTTTTGCTGCCAAACTTCAGTTAAGCCTAACCACCATTAGGTGATGCAGTACTGGTCAAAGCAACTGCTAAAAATTACTCGATGAAGAGCTGAAAAATCAAAATAGCTGACAACTTTTGAAGGCAATTGTCTAAGAATTGTATAATTAAGAACAAGCTAAGTGGCCTAGTATGGCTAAGCCCCATCTCCGGCATTTTTTTCTTTGAGCATTGTACCGAGGTAAACCATCAGGATGGCCCGCTTCAGGCCATATTTCATCGAGAGCTCCACAGCAATCCGAAGTGATAAATCTTTTTTTCCACCATCCAAATTATGCAATAAACAAATGCGGGGCAGAAAAATGGTGACGACAAAACACGATTCGGTGTTATGTCCACGTCTGAACCGAACGGACACAAGAAGACTGCCACTAAGCTAGATATTATCGCGGTGAATCGCAAAAAAACTAGTATCTCGGACTTCTGGTACCTCCTCCCCTCTTCCGTTCCTTCGGCTGCTCTCAGGAAAACCAGCAAAGCAAGGTACAATTTTCGACACCGTGAATTTGCGCAGTTTTAGCCAAAACGGAGAAGACAAAATGGAAAATTTCTGCTCATGCCGTGTTGTGATCAAAATTTTCGCACTATTTTCATTTTAGGTTGTTTTTGTTCGCTGAATATACAGATTACTTCTGGAGAGCTGGTGCTCAGAAGAATGATGAACGCAAACTCCTGGTTTGAATCACAATACCCTGGTTTCCTAGGAATGCAGAATGGTACTCTGGTAATCTTCTTCAGCCACTAACAAGTTGTACCCAGGCTCCTTCCCAAATTTCAATACTAATGATCAGGAGTTTGT